ATGGATGAGAATGGAGAAGGTACACAAGTCAACAAATGCATCTGAGATATGATATTATTAATGACTACTACAAATATTTGGAAAGACCGAAAACCTCCTCTTAGCTTTGACACTACTTCATGCCCAACATACCGAACAATTGAACATACAAGTGAAAAGGGTCTATTTTGAAGAAAGGACCAATGCTAAAATATAGTATAAAATGTTTCTTATGAATAAAGACTGAGAACAAGGCCAAGGCAACGCTAGATGCGCGACACAGTACTTTAAACATAATTAATGATTACTAAATTTGCTTCAGCGAATTCCGACAGACCGTATGAAATATGGTATTATGAAGCCCCACATGGTATTACCGTTATCAAACGCTATGCAGACTTGGTCTTGGCCCATATTACCAAGGGCTGTGCAAGCTGTTGGAGAACTGAGACAGAGCGCGAAAAGTCGGCGATCAGAACCTGCTTCAAGCTTTCTGGCAACTGAGGTCGTAGCAGCACGATGATGACTGTCGAAGATCGAAAAAAGATGACGAAGGTACCAATCAGCACGCAGCCGCTACCCATTCCGAACGGAGCAGGAAGAGAACATGACGCTGTTATAACGCGTCGGATAAGTCTCCAAGGGAACGATAAAGTAGTCGAAGATTACAGTTGGAAAATGGAACATTTTTTTACTCTGAGGGTAAGAGCAGGAGCTAGCTGATGTGGTCGCAAGGCGTCGACTAGACATAGCTATATTTTCACCACGAAGTACAACGGTTCTAGAATTCTGAATCTCTGCGAGTGGAAGCTACTCTATGCATGCGTCGATTCCACGACAAGCACTCAAGTCGGTGGCGATGTCTTGGTAGAACTCGACTGGGCCGAAAGAGTCATAGAATTCAAACTTTTCAGAGGAAGTGACAGTTAAAACGGCCTAGGGATTTCTGTTTTACACAGGTTTATGTGCCCATTTCAGAGGAAGAATATGAATCATTCATTGAGGAACTAAAAGATACTCTGTACAAACTATCGACTATGGAATCTATAATTATAATCGGTGATTTCAACGCATATGGCAGAGCAGACACTGAGAAGAGGAAAGGCATAATTGGAAAGGAAAGCAAGAGCAACCTCGGCGATAATGGCATAAAGATGTAGAAGTTTCATGCAAAAAACGAACTCGTTATCAACACATTCTTTCAGCATCGAAGCTTGCATCGGTACACCGAATATAAGGAAGCTTGTATATAGAAGTCGATGAGCGATCGGATGATCGTACCGCGTGAGTTACGAAGCTCTGTTAGTGTTCGCATTATGAAGCGCTTAGCTGTCAATCGATCATTTCGATTTTTTTGGCACCCTCAGCTGTTAATGAATGTAAACGATGGAGCACCACTCAAAGACCTGGAGCCAGAAGCGTTCAGAGAATCAGTTGGAAAATATTAACTTCTGCGGATATGAGGACAAAGCCTGCAAACTACGTAGTATGGCGGATTGAACAGATTCGAGTAATGGACGCTGATGCGGAAACGGAGTTGTAGCTCTTTAAGAGCGGTTTTTTGGGGTTGGCGTCGAACGCTGTGGCTTAAACCGGGTTGGTCTGCCACCTAAATATCAAGAACGAACTTTCTGGTGGGTGCGAGAGGTTCAACTGTCCCTCAGCGACAAGAGGTTGCGTTTAAGAAATGACTTCAACCGGCGCTCAAGACGGCAGCAAAGGCTGATTTCATGGCAATGTTCGGTGGGGTGCTGGAGTCAAATTTCCAGATGGTGATTAAGGTATTCTGGCAGACCATCCGCCGCTTCCGAGGAAAAAATTATTAGTCCAAAAGTCCTGAAGGAAAAATCTCCTCTTGCCAAACGTGAGGCATAGAGATTACTTTGACGAATGTTTTAACATCGATCGACCGCAGGAAGACTCTCTTGAAGAGCAGCTGGCAAAGGCTATTAGTCTTTCAATAAATGAAATCACAAATGAAGACTTCTAAAATATTGTAAGCATGTTGGATTCCACAGAATTTGCCCTAAATGCTCAAAGCGTTAGACGAACAAGGCATGTGGCTACGGAAAAGCATCAGTGGACTGGACAAAGGGTGTTATAGTACCTATATGAAGTGCTCAACTTATTGAGCCTTCAGGAAAAAGTCTACGCAAAGGTGTCGAAAAATGTGACACGGAATAATTGACTTTAAAATACAAGTGTGGCTTCAGATCAGGCCGAAACACCTCTGACCAGATCTTCACCTTTCGTCCGATTATTGAGAAATTGTTAGAGTTTGCCCATCCGGTTTACATGTGCTTTGTGAATCTGGAGATAGCCAACAATGGGCCCCGCGCAACAAGCTGTGCTAGCAAACATATGGCATCGATGGCTAGTTGCTACGAACCATGTGATCACTATATGTTGATGGCTGGTGCTGCGTGAGAGTTAATGGTGCTAAAGTGAAACTTTATAAAGCTGGCACTGTTCTGCGCCAAAGTTGCGTTCTGATCACGCTCCTGTTTGTTCTCATCTTCATCAGGGGTACCAGAGTCAAGGTCAAAGTACCAGGATTAATGACGATCGTTTTTACTGTACATGAATAGGACTGTCAGGCACAGCCAGGGTAATTAGTGTAAGAGCGTGTGAGGTACAGAGATGAGGAGGTCTCTGCCTACGTGTGACTCTGCTCTGACGGCATCGATCGCCAACACTGTCTGGGAAGGCTCGCAGCTCAGTGTAAAGTGGCCAGCATGCGTATGCACATGTCTAAAATGAAAATGTTAGTGCTTTTTGTTATACTGCCCGTTGCGGCCGGAAAAATGACGGAGAAGCAGTAGAACAGATATTGAAGTTCACCTACCACGTCGATGTGTTTGCTGGTGGTAGAAAATGGGAGTTGCTAGTTGGAATGGTCCGCGGAGTTCTGTGTGAACAACCCGAACCGTTATGATTAAGGCAAAGCTGAGTCTAAGGTATCTGTGTTGAGGTCGATCTCCACCAGTTGCTCACCTATGGTCATAACTCGTGAGCCATGACTAAACAGTTTCGATCCTGGGCACAAGCGCTGGAATAGACTCTCTGAGACGAATCGCTGGAGTGGCGCGTTGTGACATGATCCGGGGTGCAGATATCCGAGAGAACATTTATGTACAGTAACTGTTTCTTCAGTTGAGAATGCACACCTGCAATTGTTTGGGCACGACTCGTAAATATTTCCATAAGAGAAAGCGAAACAGTTGCTACTTTCCCAACCTACCGACCGAACTTCCTGAGGCTGGCCAAGATTGGCCTTGGGCAGGTGTCTACAAGGACTCTGCTC